ATATTATAGTAAAGTAGCTGATACAACAAAACTCATCATAATCGTCTCATCTTACGTATGCGAATAGGATTGACCCAGTGTTCTTAGAGGAGCGGCTAGGGGTGGTTATAACACTGTTCCTGGCGCTGACAGCGCTGCAGTTTGTCATCAACGGTAACCTGCCATCCAGTTCGTATTTCACCCCTGTTACTACTCAGGTACTTATATGTGTATTGTGATTGGTTGCCGCTCAGGTACTTGTAGGTGTATTGTGATTGGTTGCCACTCAGGTACTTATAGATGTTCTGTAATTGGTTGCCGCTCAGGTACTTATAGATGTTCTGTAATAGGTTGCCGCTCAGGTGCTTATTTGTGTATTGTGATTGGTTGTTTGGCTGTGCCGGATTTGTCCGGCACTCGCCAAAGGCCTGTCTTAAAGATCTGGAGTGAAGAATTTGTTCAAAGGTACCAGAAACTCCCCGACAGTTGCCGAGGACTTGTCAGTCTGAGTTCACGCGAACCTACATTTCAGCATGCGCAGTTCAATGTGATGGATTAATTTCTCGCAGATAAGGCTTCGGGTGTACCTGAATGAACGGTGTCTGAAGGTATTAGTTGGGTGCATGCGTGTAGCGGCATTGTAGACACTATATTCACCGTCCGCAGCGTGGCCACACTTTCTTTGCTTAACCTTTTATGGTTCCACGTTTTAACGGATTTGGCGCTGAAGCGCATACTAATCATCCTACATGGTTGTCGTCCGCATGTAATTTATATATCAACATTGCGCATCTCCTCTCATGTCTGGAATGGTTACATGTATTTTACGTCCTTGCTTCACTGCCCGGCTTCTACTCGTTTCATTGTTGGCAATGTCTACACTATGACACTCTACAGCACTAGATCAATGCGTATGTATAAGATTTCATGCCATATTCAATATTGCAGTCCCCACATCGTGCTGTTGCTGCTGAGTGTCTTTCTGCCCTTCGACTGCTGTGTCTGATCACACATTCTGCGCTGCCATGTACTGTTCCTGCACATATTGCAATTGCCGAGTTCTATTGTAGTCCTTCTATTGCACTATCGGCTCGTACCTTCACTCAACATCGTTCCTTCGGGGGTTCATCTCAGCTGTTGATTGGGTTTTGGGGCTGTATAGTAGTACACCAATCTGTCTGTGGCGTTGTTGTATTCTATTCATTCGGTGTTAATACCTCACCTCTAAAGCACGGGCGGGTCTTACCTTTTGAATCTCTCAGGAGCTTTCTGGCACTTGTCAAACAATGGCTCTAACCCATACCAACTGTGGCATCTGCAAGCGTGTCTTTCGATTTTGGGTATTTCCCAGACAAATTCGGACCTCTAATTATATTCTAAGTGTCTTAGCCCTATATCAATCTGGTATAGTCAGTTCAGATTTCTCAGTCTGCCCCTCTGGACTGTCTTCCCGTCCACACAGATCCTGTTCTCCTACATCGTTCTGTTCCTATGCATTCTGGAGTCGCTGTGTGTGTTCTATCTTGTCGACGACGAGCTCAAGGATGACAAACGCACCTCAAAAAGTAAGTCAACGCAAAGACCAGCCAGATCTAAAACGCACCTCAAAAAGTAAGTCAACACAACGACCCAGCCCGATCTAAAACGCACCTTTGAAGAATTAATTTATCGCATGGACCAGCCATACCTAGAACGCATTTCAAAAAGTAAGTCAACACAATGACCCAGCCAGATCTAAAATGCACCTTTTAAGAAACTATTTATCGCACGGACCAGCCATGCCTAGAACGCACCTCAAAAAGTAATGTCAACACAAAGACCCAGCCAGATCTAAAACGCACCTTTTAAGAAACAATTTAATGTATGGACCAGCCATACCTAGAACGCACCTCAAAAAGTAAGTCAACACAACGACCCAGCCAGATCTAAAATGCACCTTTTAAGAAACAATTTATCGCATGGACCAGCCATACCTAGAACGTATCTCAAAAAGTAAACTAACTCAAGGTCCAGCGATATCTAAGCGCACCTAAAAAGGTAAGGTAACAACTAGACCAGCCATAAAACGCACTCCACTCATGCATCAGATACCTAAAACGCACTCCACTCATGCATCAGATACTTAAAACGCACTCCAAAAAGTAAATCAAATCATGAATCAGATAATCTAAAACACACCCCAAAAAAAATTCAACTCGTGAATCAGATACCTAAAACGCACTCCAAAAAGAAAGTCAACTCATGAATCAGATACCCAGAACGCACTCCAAAAAGTAAGTCGACTCATGCATCAGATACCTAAAACACCCCCCCCCAAAAAGTCAACTCATGAATCAGATACCTAAAACGCACCCCAAAAAAAGTCAACTCATGAATCAGATACCTAAACCAAACTCCAAAAAGTAAGTCAACTCATGAATCAGATACCTAGGACGCACTCCAAAAAGTAAGTCAACTCATGAATCAGATACCTAAAACGCACCCCAAAAAAATAGTCCACCCATGGACCAGCTATACCTAATATGCAACCCAAAAAGGTAGCCAACACATGTACGAGCCACACTTATATATTGTAGTATTGTTTAGGACCGCTTGTTGTCCGCTTCATTGCTGCCGTGTAAATAGTACAGAAACGCGCCTAGTGCTATTTCAACACTTGGTGTGTACTACATGCACTACAATCATGCCGGTTGCACACCTTTGCCCCTGATTAATAATTATTTCTGCAGAGGCGACGGCGGTTTCCTGCCTCTCTTCCCCCCGTCTTCTTTGCCTATCGACTTTTAACCTGCATCTTGTGTACAAAGAAATTTTTTTTTGTATACGCACATGCACATACACACCTATTATATACACACAGATACATACTTACACATGTATGTATCTAAACATAACTTATAAGCACCCACACACAGATACATACTTACATATGTATATATCTAAACATATACTTATATGCACCCTCCCGTTCCTCTATAAAAGAAAATATGTTTTGGACTCTCGACCGCTTATCGTATCCCCTACTTTCCAACCACGCACACGTACAATGTTCGCTCAGTATTAGACCGTTTTCCTGGCGCCGCTCCCCCAACCCCGTTGCCGTCGCGAACGCCTGACACCCCACCGGCAACGTCTGACCAGTCATTGGCACCTAAAGTGTCTGACAGGTTTTTGACACCTCGTGATAGCGTCACAAACTCCCAAAACTCAGCACAATATGATCGCGACACCGCCGGACCCTCCAATTCTGGTGCGACCGTTGCTTGTTGTACGTACGGCTTGGTTGTGTTTATGCTTTGTTTGCGTGTACATTTTCATTGAACGTGTGTGATATGTAGGCGTCTGTGGTGTTGATGTGATGTAGGTGTCGTTGCGTACGATACTTTATACTTTGGCAACTCTGCAAAGCAGTGTCATACACTCTTTCGCCTGCGCCTGGTTGTGTGTACTGCTTGCCTCAGTCTGTGCTCAACTTGAGTATGTTCTATGCACACACGATTCACTTTTGACGCCACACTTGCTCTGGAGCTCATGCCTGTGGCTATTCGGAGTCTTAAGTATTCGTTCAACGTTGCTCCATACTCAGCAAGCCCATGCCCACTGATCGATAATAAGCAGCGTAAGGAGAGTTTCGCCTACAACGCTGTAATTAACGATGGTGACATGGCTCTCCCTGTTGGCGGCAGCGAATCGGGTCTGAGTAAGTTTCTGCAATATGGTATCCTTAACACAGGATGGCACAAGAGCACATGGGTATAAGTTATGTGTGTAGTTGGTTTGTGGCTGAATTCCTAACACCGTACACAATGGACATGTGGCTTCACATGTATATAGTATAGTCACATGAGCTTGCAAACTCTACCTGCACCAAATCCTAGCTACCAAACTTGTCATTTAAAACAGTTCGCACTTGCTCTACAACAAACGCATGAGTTTGTCAATCAGAGTTATCATTGGCCTCGCATCATTCGTCTCATAAGATCATGTACTTGAATGCTCTTTGTTATTCTATATATCAAAATATTCTGGCATCGAATTATATTTGAGGGGTTTCCTACTGTTGCATTTCTTTTATCGAACCGCCCCAATGTTTATGGAGGGTATGGAAAGCTATGCATGGGATACCACACCCAAAGTACAAACATAGTTCACCGTCACCGGCCAATGTTTCTGGGTCCGGATACACCTTGGGTTCTCGATGGCCTTGGGTACTCCAAGTATACTTACATACGTATTATTCAGGAAATATAAGAGATTATTTTATACTTTCATGGATGCTCATCTCTTGTATTCACGAACAGTGCAAATCAACCAAGACACAGATGCAGCGAATGAAACGAAGGTGAGGGGAAAATTTATTGTTTCGTGTTTTGTATGTTTTGTCTTCCTTATCAGAAAAGGCATACACGTCTATGTCTTGATAAAGGATATGGGTAGGCAAACATGTGTAGTACTTGAATATTTATGTACATATATATAATTAAGTATACATGATAGAATTTGGTAGATGCATATATGTCCATATGTATGATTAAGTATATGTGTTACACTATGGTAGACATATGTTCGTATGTACTCTTTTTGATATAGGTTCAAATAGGATACATAGATTGGGCTGATATATATATATATATATATATATATATATATACTATACGTATTAGTTCGTTAGTACTTAATTT